CTTTTTGCCAACTTTAGAGGAGAGTCAAAGTGAAGAACAACTTGAAATTAGCCATAAACACCTTATCTCATGTTTAGATGTACCTGTCATGGGGTTCAGTGCTTATTAATCTTGACAAACCAATTTTGTGTTCCAATTAATCAACGTCAAGTAGTCGCAGGTCTCAAAATCAATAAAATGACAGTGAAAAGGGTTCCAAAACTTTTGCGTGGTATATTTTTTAAATTTTGTTTAACTTCGTGCAACGTGTTCGATAAAAGCCTTTGTCTGGAAAATACCCCAGTACTCATAGTTTATTATAAACTGAATTATGTGCCACTGTAATAATTTTCCGTGAAGACAGTTAATGGTTATGCAGGTTCAAAGGGGTGCCCAAACTTTTTATAAATATATACAGGTACATATATATGTGTAGGAAAATGTGTTATTGGAGCTATATTATATATGTTATATTAAACGGTGTCTTGATTTTCATGTAGTCTTTTCATTATTCATACCCTTTAAATTGCTCATACATCTAGAACTGTCATCATCTTCCTTAATATAAATACTGTTGGTTAATTTCTGATAATAAATTTGCAACTAGAATAAAATAGACCTGATTTAATGTGATATTGAAGAAAAAGATGATTATTTACTATTAATATTGGCACAGATGACCCTGAAGATTACATTTGTTAGGCCTCTAAAGGCACATGGTGCAAGACAAACCATTGGGTCTCTTTCCGGAATATGAACTCTTTATCTCTTCCTGTTGCTCTTTGCTCTGGTTACTGACCCAAACAACCTTCCTTTAGTTTTAAATGTTTCCATTTTATTATTTGAGACCTTTGTATCCTCCAATCTTTGCTGTTCTGTGTGAAGTGCCATAAGGTGACCTTTCCAATAGTAAAGAAAAATCAAAAAAGCTTCACAAATAAAAATACACGGAGCTAAATTGCTTTGGTGGAATTTAAGAGCAAACATGCAAAAAGGTCATAACAAATGTTGCTGTAAAAAAATAACCATTCAAACAAATATCCATGCAAAACCTGCCTTTGTGCCCAATCCTAATCTTTTTTTAAACTTTTCATTTTCAGGAGGTTGTTTGCTTAACGTTTTTTTCATTTCCACGGCAAGGCAACAACATAAAACCCACAAGATGAGAGAGACCATCTTGTTGGTCTTTCTAAGTGTTGTGCTAGAAAAAGAAAACTTGCATCCAGGCATTCACTATGGTATTACTGGAACATATCCACCTACCTGAAAATGTTTGTAGACCAGCAACCCATTTTTCAAGTTTCTTGTGATCAGAGGCATGCAAGAAAAGGAGGCCTATTGAGAACTTCGGTTCAAAGAAGAGCGTCAAATGCAGATTTCAACTAAGTGATTCTATCGTAGAGATTCTACTGGGGAGAAGAGAAGCCATGGAATAATGGCCCAATCAACGCTATTCCAAAAAGCTGATGTCTGGTGTTAGATTATCTAAATACACTCAGATAGAACTACGTCAAACTGTTTTATATCACTAAGTGCCACAACGTCCGACAAGAACATTTGAAGGATGTGACTATTTCAGTCAACAAAGGGGTGTGTGTAACTATGGAATTTTTACAAAGACTAATATCACTGAAATTCCACTTCTTTCACATTGGTCAGCTGCACTACTTAATCTAAACTGAGCAGAGTTCTAACTTGACAACTTAATTGATCCACTGTCCATGTTACAGTTTGCATGAATACGATTGGAGGCCAGTTATTAGAACGGTACCGCACTGCAGACTGTGTGAAAAAATAATTCTATATATTCTACTAGCTCTAATCCTCTTAGAGGGAGATTACCATACAAGTAAGTATAGCTAAATCACATCTTTAAGACATCTTTAAGTTTCTTGAATAATGACTTTGTCAGATGACACCACATTTATAAAAACAGGATATTAATTTAGCAGACCAGCAATCTGGAAATACTGAAACCCTGAGTTGGCATGTTTGTCTTAATTAGCTGACATGTTAAAGAAACAGGAAGCATATGTGGAAAAGATGAGATGTATTTGGAAATTACCTGCATCACTATAGTTGTGCTTCCCTTCTGTAAAAAAAAAAAAAATGCAAAAAATGACCTTTGGTAAATGTCCGGTGCACCAATGCTTATTTGGGTGTAATAGATGGTGATTACTGACTCCAAGAATAAATCGAGTCAGCCACATTATACTTCCATATCTCATGATTGTGGATTGAATAACAAATATTTGTATCTGGTCTGTTAGTGTTTTTTGCCAATCAAGTTTTATGATTTTACTCATTTAGTTCCAAACAAACTTGATTGTGTTTGAGTGTGTTTGGATGACACTGGACAGTACAATAGTTGATTTACATACACTGTATTTTTTTGAGTGTGCTGACATGTGATTTGCTGTTATTTTGCACTTCCTCAGAACAACTGAAGTTAAATTTATGTCATTAATTACAGTGAAGTCATAAGAAATGTCATAAGAAATGCACCTACATACATAAGCGCACCCAAATGATCATCCATCATCATTTCATATAATTACGATGGGAATCTAACATCTGAGACGAAAACTGAGCTGATCCCAATTGACTCATGCTTATCTTACTGCCACTCTACAGTGGTAATGCAATTCAGGCCTGACAAACTTCTAAGTCATTTCATAGCAAACCAATTACCAAGAATTTTAGAATGCAGATCATGTCTCGGCTTACATGTTTTTGGCTCTGCCAATATTGAAACATATTGAAATATATATTTACAGTGTAAGTAGCAGCATAGCGAAAACTACATTTCTCTCAGATGCCAGGAAGGGCAAAACTACATGATCAAATGAAAAGATCATTAACAACCATACCGAGCTGTGAAATATTTCAGCCACTGAGCAGGTCATAGTTTTTTAGAACATCGTCACCTGTATTAACGCCAAATCTACAATCTATGTTATGATTGTGTTTAGAAATGAGACACAATTCTAAACGCTCTTCCAAAGTTATAATACATGTGTGGTCATTTTTAAGGACTCTGAGGAAACTATGATCTCAGAATATAATTTTAAAAATGTGTGGAGGAAAGCAAAAAAAAAGGTTTTCTTATATCTAAACAATTTTTGCTATTGGTTCCATCCAAAATGACTTGAAAACTTGAAAATTGTTTACCTTGCATATTAACTTGTTGCTAAGTTTTGCTTCACTTTTCTGGAAAACAATCAGAATTCACAAGCTAATATTAAACTGGTAATTCAGTGGTGTTCAGGATAACGCCTGAAACATTAGAAAGAGACTGAAACTGCTGGAAAGTCAGTTCTGACTCAGAAAACGGAGTCTGTGGTTTTGATTTAAACTTAAAATCTAACATTAATTTTAGCTTGTGACTGTTAGGACAAAATAAACCTTATGATAGTATAACATTCTATTGTTCCCTGCTGTGTTTTCTCCACAGGGGAAGTCAGGGACTCTGTGCCATTTAAATATTATCTATGATTTTACCTATGTTTAGATTGGGTGATAGAGGACTAATGATTTGATTAACATTGAAATTAATTTGATTTAATGACTGTTATCTGGAAGGGTTGCGGATCCAGTTAGAATATCAATAAAACAATAAAACGCACGATGAAATTTACTCAGGACAAGCATTGTGCTTCTTCACTACTGAGAAAAATATTAACGTAATCTTCCAAAAGAGCTAATTACCTTTACAGCAGAATGGCATTATCAGAGTTAGGTTGTAAGATTTATGTGTTGTCATAGTATTGGATTTTTTTTTTTCATTTACTAAGTGCCTTCAAACCTTTTAGGGGGATAGACATCATACACACAACTGTCAACCAGGAAACTTGTTTTTGTCCCTCCTTTAACCAAATACTTCCCTCATTTTCTTTTGACCTAGCCAAACACTGTTTAATTCTGCTCTCAGTAACTTTTTTTTTAAAGTCTAGCAAAACATCTTGGCTTCCTTAATTAATCAAGCTCACAAATGTCTTTTTCATGGTCTTCTCCTCACTCTTCAAAAGATATAAATTTAATACAAAATCTCAATAAAATAGATTATTTTAAAAAGGCATAATTTATGTCCCTCAGTCCAATGGACGTAAGTCATAGTATATCTTGCCTTTGAATATAAAAGTTTAATATGTCTTTAATCTTTTTCCCATAGTGAATAAGTTTTTATGGAACACATATTTCAGAAGATTTTGACATGATTTAAAAAAAATATCGCAGTTATATAGGCCTTTGCGTGAGCAGCTAACCTGTGCCATAATGTTCGCTGGGAAATTCCAGTCAAACCAAGCAGTTTCTTTTCAATGCATTTATGTTTGAATCAGAAAGTAAAAGCAGCAGATGTGAGTGGCCAGTGTAGTGACAAAATAAACAAGGCGGCACTTTGGAAGGCAGTTATGAACAGAGACAGTTGAGAGTGATTGGTAGTTATTGTGCTTTATATAAATATATATATATATATATATATATATATAATGGTCATGCAGTGGAGCAAACCCTTGCAATCCGTGTGCATGTGATCCAATTGTGTCTTAGTAACAACTCGCTAAACATATTGATTTTTACTGCTCTTAGTAACAATTTAACAAAAAAACAGGACTTTTGGAACGTTTTAGATAACATTGAACTGAGATAATAAAAAGATGATTTCGGAAGTTTTTCTTGGTGTCATTTGAGATGGTGGTTAAAGTCTAGCTTGGATCCATGGTGACAGCAGAATTCCTCACGTTTCTTATCTTGTTGTCGCCATTGGGCCTAAGTGAATAAATGCAAAGAAACCATTCCTTATCTTACTATTTATTTGAGGTCACTGTCACTATTGTGTGAAATTCCGCGAATGGGCAAGGAGATAAACTATGCAAATTTTATTCCAGAAATAAATTTAAAAAACAATCATATTTTGAATAATTTGTTCCATATTAGCATTTCAAGATGTATCTGTTAACCATGAGATGTCCATTCGTGGTCATGTGGTTATGGTAAGAAATTCTGCTATCATTGCATTATTACATAGCCAAAATTAATGCTAGAGGTATTCTTACCTTTTCAAGTTGTGCGTTTTGTTTGGACTTGTAAAGAAATTCTCCCACAGCCACGAACACAGAGAGAACAAGTCCAGCCGCAAGGACAATGAAGATCCCTCCGATATTCTGAACCCCAAGGGCACTGGCTTCTTTACTCTCTTCTTCTGGACAACCGTTTCCTCGCCACCATTTTTCTTTCATCATATGCAGCTTCCCTTCTTCCTGAAGCTGCAGAATGGCAATAGTAATCGTGTCTCTGTATGGAGAGCCTAAAGGACCCAAACAGATAAGATCAGTACAGGAAATCAACATAACCAAATCACTTCCTCTTTATGTACTGGTGGTGATCAGAGTGTGGCCATATTTAACATTTTCAAGTGTTTATTTGTTTAGATCCATCCATCCATTGCCTATACTGCTTATTACCATCGGGTCGTGGGAGGGCTGGAGCCTATCCCAGCAGACAATGGGTAAGAGGCGGAGTACAGGTTGCCAGTCCATTGCAGGGCAACAGAGCGCCCGCATTACTGCAGACGTTGCACCGATCCGCCTATCAATCTCACGCTTCCTACCCCCATTCGCAAAACAAAACCCCGAGATACTTGAAGTCCTCCACTTGGGGAAGGACGTCCCCCCTGACCCGGAGAAGGCACTCTACCCTTTTCCGGTGAGAGACCATGGTCTCGGACTTGGAGGCTCTGATCCTCATCCCAGCCGCTTCACACTCGGCAGCGAACCGCTCCAGCAAGAGCTGTAGGTCACGACTTGATGAAGCTCAAAGGACCACATCATCCGCAAAAAGCAGAGATGCGATCCTAAGGCCACTAAGATGGACACCCTCAACAATTCGGCTGCGCCTACAAATCATGTCTATAGAAATTCTGAACAGAACCGGAGACATAGGGCAACCTTGGCGGAGTCCAACTCCCACCGGGAACGGGTCCGACTTACAATCGGCAATGCGAACCAAGCTCTGACTCTGGTCGTACAGGGACTGAACAGCCTTTAACAAAGGGCCTGGTACCCCATAGTCCCGGACCACCCCCCTAAGGATACCCCGAGGGACACGGTCAAACGCCTTCTCCAAGTCCACAAAAGACATGTGGACTGGTTGAGCCAACTCCCATGCACCGTCAAGGATCCCGCTGAGGGTATAGAGCTGGTCCAGCGTTCCACGGCCAGGGTGAAAACCACACTGTTCCTCCTCAATCCGGGAATCGACTATCCGACGGACCCTCCTCTCCAGAACCGCTGAATAGACCTTCCCAGGGAGGCTTAAGAGTGTGATCCCCTGTAGTTGGAACACACCATTCAGTCCCCCTTTTTGAATAGGGTAACCACCACGCCAGTCTGCCAATCCAGCGGGACTGCCCCTGATGTCCACGCTATGTTGCAGTGCCACGTTAGCCAACGCAGCCCCACAACATCCAGAGCCTTGAGGAACTCCGGCCGGATCTCATCCACCCCCGGGGCCTTGCCACAGCTGAGCTTTTTGACTACTTCCGTGACCTTACCCCCCGGAGATTAGAGAGCCGGACTCCAGACCCTCAGGCTCTGCCCCCTCCAATGGAGGACGCGCCAGTGGGATTGAGGAGGTCTTCGAAGTACTCCGCCCACTGACCCACAACGTCTCAAATCGAGGTCAACAGCACCCCATCCCCACTGTAAACGGTGTTGGTGGGGCACTGCTTCCCCCCCTGAGACGCCGGATGGTGGACTAGAATCGCCTCAAAGCCATATAGAAGTCTTTTTCCATGGCCCCCCCAAACTCCTCCCACGCCCAAGTTTTTTCATCGGTTACCACCCGAGCCGCATGCCGCTTGGACTGCCGATACCCATCGGCTGCCTTCGGAGTCCCACAGGCCAAAAGGGCCCGATAGGACTGTTTCTTCAGCCTGACGGCATCCCTCTCCGCCAGTGTCCACCAGCGGGTTCCAGGATTGCCTCCACGACAGGCACCGACAGCCCTGCGACCGCAGGTCCGGGGTCTTTGTTGTTCATTCCAATGATAAGTCAATATGTGTTATTTCAGCAGATAAATCACCTGTGCATGTTCTCCCTGTGTCTGAATATCCAGGTAATACGGCTTCCTTCTATCACCCAAAAACAGGACAACAACTTTGATGACTCTAAATTCAAAATGCATTTATTCAGTCTCTAACCACCTACTGAAGTTTAAGTCCACATACTCTCCTTTAATAAAGTTGATTTACTTTTGTGAGTTGGAAGTGTGTTCCTGTGAGTTGCATTGAAATCCTGCACTTCAGTAAAAAAACAAAGCCAAGGGCATAGTGATTATAGAACAAGGCGATGAGATATGAACTTTTTGTTCAAAGTAAGGAAAAATCTCACCAATTATTGATGCTCAGTAACAAAAA